AAGAATGATTGTGTAGATGAGTTTAATAAACTAATGTTAAGTTTGTTCCGCTTTTATTTCAGAATAGTTGAAATTGCCTGATAGTGTTTTTAATCACCAATTTATCTATACACATAATTCGTCCTACTGATTAATGATGATACTAATAATAATAATAGGCTCTTAGGTTCGTGGTAAGTATCATCATCACCGTGTTGCTACAAATACAGATTTGATTGCTGTACATGTTTTAACAAACGATAATATTTGTATTACAGTGAAATAAGTGTTGCGATAAACTAAATACCCATAAAAATTGAGGTCTCTAATGCTATTTTCACATAATCACATCAGCCATCATGGAACAACAAGATTGTGTGTAAATAAGTTATCCAACATAACAATACGATGAGTGTCCTTATTGCTAGTAGCGATCTCTTCAAAATAAACTCAAAATCAAAGTAAAAATATTGATACATTGCAATGTAACAGAATAAATTGATTGCATAAGATAGTGCTTCATAGGAGAATTAGTAAACTATATTTTTACTCACAATGTGACCAGATATATGTATTTATGTACCAATATTACCAGACTCCTAAGAAACTTCCTTCTAGTCAAGGAACTTTGACTTAGATGGTCCAAGTCGAAGAATTACTAAAGTGATTCGAATGGTATACCAGGACTTCATTGGGCCGAATCATCATGATGGAATCAGGAAGTGATATTATCACGATATTATATCGACGCTTGAAAGGCAAACGTGACTAAACGACAATGAGTGAACTTTACAGTAGACTAATTGAAAATTGAAATGATTTTAATAGACCTAAAAATATTATTTTTTTGCGCATCGAATATGGTTATTGCCTATCATTTATGTACAAAGCAGTTATTTTCGCTTAGTCACGTTTGCCTTTCAAGCGTCGATATATTTCTGTTCTGACAATAACAGTTTGATAAAAATATTTGAAAATTTATAAAAAACGCGCGAAAGTCGTCAACGAATGAAAAAATTCACAGATAACATAAAAAACAAGGTTATGCGTTTCGTTTCATGCTTTGTAGATTTTGAACACCTTATTTTTAAAACTTTTCGTCGTGTATTTAAATATATTAGAAGCAAACGAGAAAAGTTTCAATGGAAGCTAAAATGAACTTACAATGATAAGGAGAAAAGATCTCGATAAACATTCTGAATCGATTTAAGACGCGCGAGACGCCACCCCATAAACTATTAATCTTAATTCACTCAGCGCCCATTGTTATTCGTGAATCGGTGCGCCGAATCATTCGAGTATCGAGACATTTCAGACTAAATGAGACGTTGTAATCGAGTTACGACCCTAACGCAGATAGTTTAGTAAAGAGGGTAAGAAACATCAACGCGAAGTCATCATCTTCGAATTTCATTCGATTTACTATTATTATTATTTTTATTATTTTCTTTAGTTAATGTTTAATAGAACTCGAATTTATTAAATGAATTCATTTTTTTGTTAAATATCTTAGATCAGTGCTTCCCAACCTTTTTTCTTTGACGTGTCTCTTAATAAAGTTTTTCATTCGTGAGTATTACAGATAACTCCTTACTTTAATAGTTTGTAACTGTACGATCTAGAAAGGTCAAGAATGAGCATCTTCAGCCATAGTTTACCCGGAGCAAGACGTCTTTACGTTCTTATCTCCAAATACTATTGACGGAATTATGCGAATGGTCTTTGGAGATGAAGAGTAGTGGATTAGTGTTTGACGTTAGAGATCCTAAGGTTTAGAAAGTCAGGCAATTTCTTACCAAGTCTCTAAACTGTAAGTAAAAACTTATTACGAAACTTCTTTCATTAGTACTCTAAAATTACTCGTATGATTAGACATTGTAGAGCTTTCTAGAAGATCTACAGAATATGGAAGATAAATCTTGCATGAGATAAGTCGCTACATCGATTACATTAAATTTAAATGATATTAAAAAGAGAAAGGAAAATTTCATAAATTTTTTCCAATGTTAACTATATATAATAATATTTAGCTATAACAGAATTTATATGCACTATGTAGCCATAATTATTCACAAAAATGTCATACACACCACTAAGTTAAAGAGTGAACAAGTCCGCACTCGCATTTATGTATAGCGTGACGAATGTGTTACAGGGTCTTCTTAATTTAGGGATGAAAATGTAGACGGAAATTTTATTACACAATAATATTTTTTATCGTTTTAATGTGCATAGAATTATTATGTTTACCTTTATGAAAATAAACTGAATATTGTAATGAACATGATAAAAAAAACTCGAAAGATATGTTTCGAATAAACCACCATCCTACTGAAACGTCTTAAACCAACCTATAAGTTGATTAATAAAACATATTACTGCGAAATGAAGTAGGAAAATAAGTGTTAAAAAAAATCAGCAGGAAAGCCATTAATATGTTATAAGTTACGTCGGTGCCAGCCCTGATTTATGGCGCGTCCCGACAAACTCGCCCCGTTTTGAAATATAGACTTACTGGGGAATAGTTCTACTGAATGTTTTTATTTATTTGCTTTTATATCTTTTTTTTATTTGTCATCTTTAACGAGTGGAATTCAACGTAACATAACACTAAAATATGTCTGAAATGTGAACTATATTAAATAAAGTGCTTTTAGGCATTCCAGGCACAGGTTCTCGTCCACATCAACGAGTTACACTTGCAACTTCAGCCACAGACACAACCCAATGAATTCCTAGCCGGATATTCTCAGTGGACCGCGATTCCGGTCCGATGATAGATACATTGAAGCATTGTTCTGACTTGAGCAAATATTAAGAAATTCTCTCAGGCCAAGCCCCACGAATTCTTTTTTTTTATGATTGACGGTTTGGACTGGTGGCCTTTCCAGTTTCACCAGAACAGGAAGGACTTTTTGGCGGGAACGCGAGGAGTGATGATTTGTGGAGGTGTGATTTGTTTTGTTTTGTCTATTCAGTGTTTCTTCAGGTATCATATGCAATAACGGTGGTTTATTAACTGTTTAGTATCTGTGAAAGTGCACAAATGTGGGAAAATCAAACAAAGCCGCTGAACGTAACTTCTCAGGATTCTCCAAAAAGTCCACTGAAAAAGTCTCAGTAAATGACCACCATTTTACTGAGATTATATTTCATCCCATATCATCTAATCTCATTTCATTTCATTTCACTTAATTTCATGCCATGTTTCATAGTAATAAAATTCATTTCATTTCTCTTCATAATATCATTTTTCATAAAAATAAGAATATAAATTAAAATAAGACATGACCTAAAGGTCTTAGTTACCAGGTCATAAAATTCCTTAAAAAAACAGAACAGGTGGGCGAGCAAGGGCTCAGCCAGGAGGGGCGAGATTTGCTAACAGATACCCGAGCGCCTCCAATTGTAGGCAGCGGCTTGGCTCTGCCCCTGGCATTGCTGAAGTCCATGGGCGACGGTAACCACTCACCATCAGGTGGGCCGTATGCCCGTCTGCCTACAAAGGCAATAAAAAAAAAAAATAAAAAAAAAAGGGAGACCACACAACTCAAGAGCAGCTGCTTCGCGAATGAATCTAGTACCGGATCGGAATCGCGACCCACTGAGAAGATCCAATGAGAAACTCAACGGGCTGATGTTTAGGTTAGGTTGCACGTCGAACTCTTTGCCGAGTTCGACGAGTACGGTTACCGGGGTCTCTACTCCTGCTGTTAGAGCGAAAGACGTCTAATGCAAAGGTTATTGGATCTGATGGATCCGTAAGGACGTATCTAGGGCGACGACGGTGACTGGCTCAGGATTCGAGGCGTAGTCAGCGGCGGCAGCGATAAGGCGATTATCATGACTCATTGCCTTATCGAAGTAACGTTCCGACGCGGACTTCATACATTTTCTGATCGATTCGAGGTCTAAGTCGCCGTGTAAGTCAGCGTTCCTCACGAACGACGGACCATGAGTTCGCTCACCAAACAAGGTGAAGCCAGAATAGCCCCACGAAACTACTGCGCGATCAGTACGCAAAAAATGGTTGAAATCTCAATTGCACATTTCACCTGCCAGTACGTGTGTGAACTATCAAGAAACCACAGAATACAAATCAAGAAGTTGCTTACTAAGCCCGCTGAGTTTGTCACCTGGTCTTCTCAGTGGGTCGCGATTCCGATCCGATAGTAGATGTATTCGCGGAGCAGCTGCCCTTGAGCTATTAGGTCTCCTTCAAATGCGCTCGGACAACTGTTAGCAAATCCTACCCCTCCTGGCTAAGGCCATGCTCGCCCACCTATCCTGGTGAAGCTGGAAAGACCTACGTGCCATTAGTAATCCTTCCTTCAAAAAAATTGAACTTACTTAACTTAACTCACAAAGCAACATTTCAAATGAACAATTAACCAACGAATCGCCAAAAAATCATATGAATTTCACAGATTTTTTTATAATTTTATTATTTGCTGTCCACAAAACGTCTTTGGTTAAACGTAAGCCATGTTATCGGTCACGGCTTTCGAAATTAAATAATAGAAAATTAATGATTACTCGTGACAGACACAGTCTTCACAAAACGGGTTATCATTAGTCATCGACTCGCTGGGCTGTCGATGACAGTGGTGTTCGTCTGCGTTCATAAATCAGCATTCAGTAAAAACAATGGAAAGCTCACAATGGGAGATATTGCGCGAGCTTTTAGTTACCACGATATCATCCGGAGAATTTATATAATTTTCTTTATGCACTGCCGTCGTTTGCCGAGTCGCCGACCCCTTAATTAAATTGTGGTATTCGTTTTAAATTAAAAAGAAAACATTTTCATGTGTACCTACACTTTATTTTAAAAAAATATGCGGAATAAATAATATGAACAAACACCATTTAAACTAATACATTTTTAAGTTAAAATTGAATAGAGTTATTGAAATGTAGCTATAATAATATTAATAATAATAGAAGTAGTTGGAACCAATTAAACCCTTTGCCCAGCTCTCAGCAGTGTTAACTACATACAGCACTACTGAGTCAGTCAATTATTCTTCAACAACTGACTCTGCAACCTCAACACGCCCCCTTCTTGAGTCATACATCGGGTTCCTAAACGCAGTTCGTCCGCCCCCTATAATGGTCGAATCTCTTCGGGTCAACGAAACCACACTGTCTGTTCTCCTCTGGAATCTGCTGAACATCCGTCTCGAGCCTCTGTTTATTACTGGAAATTCTATTTTAGGTAATCTATAGTAATATAAGTAAATGGCTCCCATTACTAAAGCGACCGCAAAGAACATTGAGAAAAACATTTTTCCTCCCAAATTTGCTTTGTCAAGTGGACTTCCGCTAATCTTCGCCAGCTTGCTACTCTTAAACCAATGTTTCTCGATAGTTTTATCAATATAATTAGCTATTTCAGCACTAGTTCCAGTATACGCTCCTTTTTCCACAACAACAAGCTGTAGTGTCCTAGAATCTTTGACCGGCGTGAAACCGATGTGATACACAACATTTCCCCCGTAGCTCTGAACAGTTTTATCCACTAGCTCATTGAAGGCTATCATATCGAAGTCGTCGTCAATTTCAAATGTAATGTATCCTCCGCATTGCTTACAGCAGTAACCGTCAGGTTTGATTGGCGCCAAGCAGCTTGGTTGCGGACAATATTTCAAAGAGCAGTCGATTTCCAAAGGAAATTTCTGGCACGGACAACCATTTTTGTGACGACAAGTCCTTGAAGAAACTTTAACTCCTGTTTGTAATAAGCTGTTTAGTTGAAAAGCTTGCTCCTCCTCAGATTCCGAAGCTCGGCTTAGAAACGACTCGGTGGTGTAGGTCTCGCCGCTAACTTTTAAACTGCGCACAGACTGCATTGAATCCGGCAGTATCACTGTGTATTTGGCATTCGGGAATTCGACATCGTCACCTTCACAGGGCAACTTCTCAGAATCAGGCGTGGCTTCATTGAATCGAAGAGAACTCCAAACGCCCGCTTGGGCCCACGAAGACATAGACTGATCCATATAATACGAGTAACCTTCTGTGCAATTCGTTTCTGTTGGATCCTCACCGAGAACTATCAAGGTTTCGAGAATAATCTCACCATCCACGGGCAAGACAAGCTCTTTCACTTTCTCCTCAGACTGCATTTTCACTGACCCTGTCATTCTATCAGGAAACACAACAGTTTGCTTTGAACACGGCAGTTTCTTGTCTTTGAAGTTGGCAGGCAAGTTGAAGCTCCCATTTGGCACCCATTTCACTAGAGCCGCTGATGCGATAGCGACAATTGACGAGAACAACAGCAAACTAGTGCTCGTGTACATTGTGCGAAGGCGTTTGTCTAAAATGTGAGCTCGTAATCATTCGGTAATCGGATACCAACATGTCTGGTCGTTAGTTATCCGCACATGTCACGTAATCAGAACGCGAGCCGCAAACCGATCGGGTGGTACAGCTTGGATAACGTAAACATCATCCCGCTGTTTGCATATGGAACGATTTGAGTTCGAACACGCCGATCTGAAATCTATAGCGATTTGAATAATTCCATTAGTTATCTATTACGAATTTCCGAATAAGATTTTGTATTCTCAGTTTTATTATATAGGCAACCGTAAGTATAGTTTGGTACATATTTACAATTAAGTTAATTTATTATTATAATTTATACATATCCTATAATACATATTAGAATGAATTCTACTGAATCTCAAATAAGCTACCTTTTTTTAAATTAAAAATGACATATCAATGGCATTTCTGCCGTGAAGCAGTAATGCATTTCGGATTGAAAGGTGGGGCAGCCGTTGTAACTATACTTTTTTTATTTTTTTATAGGTGGCTGGACGAACTCACAGCTCACCTTGTATTAAGCGGTTACCGGAACCCATAGATATCTACAACGTAAATGCGCCACTCACCTTGAGATATAAGTTCTAAGGTCACACTAAGGTATCTTTTTTCCTACCTATTCTAGTAACCTTGAGGGGTTATTCTAGATTGGCCGAGCTAGTAGGTCAGCTCACGGGGCTGAAACCTGACGACGTTGCTAACACGAACCCTAGCAAGAGCCGTGCTTCACAGAATCTACCACCGGATCGGAAACGCGACCCACTGAGAAGATCTGGCGAGAAATTCACTGGGCTGTATCTGTGGGTTAATTTACTCGCGGAGCCCTTCGTCACAAGCGACGGGTTCGACGAAAACGATGACTGGTGCTTGAGGGACCTAAAAACACCGTTAGGGGATCGGGAGGATCCGAAATGACGTGTTTTAGGCGACGTCGACTATTTACCATTTGGTCCGCAGGATCGGCTATGTAGTTCCCGGCAGCTACGATGAGAGGATTCTCGTGTCGTGCTACTTTATCGAAGTGGCGCATTGATGCCGACTGTAAAATACTTACTGATGGACTCTAGGCCCAAGTCGTCGTGCAGGTCGATGTTCCTGATGAACCACGGGGACATAGGGTAGCGCTGATATAGCCTCTTAAGGCAATCAGCATAGGAAAAATGCCAGCAACGCCACCCCGTAACACTAGTTTGTTACTCTCTTTATAAATTGAACAACTATTATAAATACCAATCGTATTACAGTCCACTCTTTTAATTATGACGACGCTTGTAGCTGAAAGTAAGTATTGTACTTTTTGACAAAGCATGTTGCTGATAACTCTGTTTCTATAATCTGACGAAGCGTGTTGCGGATAATAATATGTTTAAAAAAAAATTAATAAGATATCACCGGTCTATTCCAGAACAGTCGAGAACAATAAGGATATTTTAATAAAAAACGTGACAAAAAGAAAAGTATTTGTTCAAGAACACGAGTACCCCCTATTTCTTAGCGGAATCGTTTTGCGGCTCTTAAACCTTAATGATTTATGCAATGCTGAAACATCTCAAAAAAATTTCACATAAACATGTCTGAACGAAGATTATCCCCGAGAATTATTGGCTTGGTAATAAAACTTGGCTATCTACAGAAGCATTCGGCAAAGAAATATATGAGAGGTAATCTGACTGTAATAAAATTGTTTGTATGACACTTTTAAGCTTTGATTTCTTTATTTCAATTTACTACAGAATAGGAAAGTTAACAACTAGTACGTATCTATACTATAATACTATATAATATCTATACTAATATTATAAAGAGGAAAGATTTGTTTGTTTGTTTGTTTCGAATAGGCTCCGAAACTACTGGGCCGATTTGAAAAATTCTTTTGCCATTAGAAGCCGACATTGTCCCTGATGAACATAGGCTACTTTTTTTTAATTTTTATTTTATTTTATTTTTTTGGTTTCATGTGTGTTTTAATGTTTCCGAAGCGAAGCGAGGGCGGGTCGCTAGTGTTATATAAAATTATTTTCATTTTCGAAAACATGCCCATAATAATTTCTATATAGAGCATATTTATTTATCAGTTTCTTCAGCTTCAATATTTTTCATGTTCACGAACGACCAACTTAAATGCATAACAAAATGTTAATTAGTTTTTTTACTGATTATTAATGTCTTTATCATCCGTCGACGTCCCGTGAGCTTAGCGACTTAACATCAAGCGGCTTGTGTGCCGATACAGCTATCCTTTCGTAAAACAGCACTTTCAATATTGCAGTTTTGTAAGTTGACATATCTCTCTTCTATATCGTTCCCTCACTGCTGAGGATCGCGACCACATGTGACGTTCTTCCACTGGGTTCGATCATGGGTGGCATGGACCGCATGGTACAGACTACCACCAAGTGCTTCTCATACTAGATCTGACCATATGACTGGTGTTTTCTTGACATATAGATATTGTTTAAAGTATACATCATTCTTGTTTGATTCACAACAAACGGCTTATGAAACAACAGAAAAAATTACAACGCATAGAATGAAATAATGACGTTAATTAAAATAGCCGATGACAATAAAACTGTACTAATTCCATAGACCTTTATAATAATTCACATTCAATCTTCTCGTTCAGTTCACACCGATTGTCGGGATGCATCGTTTGAAATATGCTCAAGAGAAATATCTTAAGGAGATCCTAGATTTTCTTCAAAGCCATAAAAGCAATACAAAACGTCATAATAGCTGATGATTTATCTCAATATAACAGTAGGTGGTTAAATACAAAACCATTAATGAGTACTCGGGGGTGGAAATTTAATAAGACGCCACGCCACGCCACCGTGCGTAGTTATGTAAATTTTATTGTATGAAAAGCCTCCGTTTGGAAAATACAAGCGTATATTCGGTACCGTGCTGTCGCGACAGAATCACGAGACGCTAGACGCTATTAATATTTTCGGTCCTGTAAGTACCATTGTATGTATAATGACCAATAAAGTTCGCTTACTTCAACGCTTTTGCCACTTTTTTCTGTTTTAAGGACATAAGTAAGTGCCAAATAATATTTCAATTATATAGCTACCAAAAAATTAATTTTAACTGAGTTTTATAACATTCTACATTTATTTATAGCGGTACAGGTACCGATGCTAAATGAACATGAACTCTTTCACTGTATTGTAAAAAAAAACTAGTGAGGTGATGCCGCGATCACAGCCATCTATTTTTATTTTCAATATTAGGATTGTTACAATATAGGCTATGGCGCGCGTTGATTTTATACCAACGCGTATGAAGAGGTCTTCGCATAATGAAATCAATAAAGTATATCAAATGGATGCGGGTATAGCAATTATAATAGATCATAAGAGTTAGATTTTAAATGTCAAATTGAAACTCTTAAATTGGACGGCAACATTTCGATTTTATATTCCATATAGATTAGGAGATATAATTATCGTCTATACTGATAGATGAGCTTAAACATATCTGATGGTACTAGACGAGTAGGACATTTAGACATTTACTGGTGGCAGGACCTCTTGTGAGTCTGCGCGGGTAGGTACCACCGCCCTGCCTATTTCTGCCGTGAAGCAGTAATGCGTTTCGGTTTGAGGGGTGGTGCAGCCGTTGTAACTATACTGAGATCTTAGAACTTATATCTCAAGGTGGGTGGCGCATTTACGTTGTAGATGTCCATGGGCTCCAGTAACCACCAGGTGGGCTGTGAGCTCGTCCACTCACCTAAGCAATAAGCAATAAAAAATAAATAAAAAAAACATTCATCACTATCAAAAAGAAAATCAACAGTCACGTTCACAACCTCAACCCGTATGTACACATTGCTAAGCGAATTCTGTTGATCGTAACAAGGCCGCCGAAACGCACAATATGGCAGATGGGTAGATAACAGCGGCCTGTAAGTGTTCGGGTTTTACGGTTCAGACGTATAAAATTGCTAAGGGGAATCTAAGGATACAGCGCGAATCATTGTAGAGGCTTTAGTGAAAGCAGTACTTGTGCTAAAGCTTTTGGGGTAAGGAATTTCATAAAATATCTGCCGTAGATATAGTGACGTACAAACAAGATTTAAGGTTTTTTTGTTGCGGCCCATTCGATTGTTAAATAGAAAATTTTGAAATAATTATAACACTATACTTTTTTTTTAATTTTATGGCCTAGTAACGAGACCTTTCGTTTCACACAGTTCCAAATCACAACGGTGTTTAAGACATTTTCAATTCAAAAAACATGTTGAATTTGACAGTGACAGTTGTCCTTCTGTAAACTCCCTCCATTGCACCATAGCTTAAGTCGAAGGGCTCCGTGGCATAAAGCCTTATTGTCATCGGGTTATGATATTCAAGGCAGTGAAAGTTTACGAGTGTTTTTTGTGTTTTATGTCGGTTTCTGAACGACGTCCATTCGACTCGAACAGTCGATTCCGTTTAATATATCTACGGTCCAACTTTTCTTCTTTCACATTTCGAAATTAATTTGAAAAATTTCGTCTTTTTCACACACAAAAAAAGCAATTGTCGTAATCATTTTTTTTTCTCTACCTATGTTGATAACCTTGAGAGGCTATTTCAGCTTCTCCTTGACGTATAGATGAGCTCACGGGGCCTCAAACCAGGAGCGCTGCTAACACTGGCTCTAGCAAGACCAGTGCTTCGCAGAATCTACCGCCGGATCGGAAATGCGACCCACTGAGAAGAGCCGGCGAAAAACTCAGTGTCTATGGGTTTATTTACTCGTCAAGCCCTTCGAGTTAGGCGAGGACGGTGACCGGTGCTTGAGGTACCTAAAAGAACCGTTAATAGATTGGGAGGATCCGTAAACACGTGTTTAGGGTGAAATCGACTGTTCACTAATCGGTCCACAGGATCGGGTATGTAATTCCTGGCGGCCACGACAAGAGGCTTTTCATGTCGTGCCGCCTTTTCAAAGTGGCGCAATGATGCCGACTGTAGATACT